CAGTACCCTCCCAGTGCCCCTCCAGTTCCTCCCTCACTGCCCCCCAGCGCCCCCTCACCGCTCCCGCCATTGCCCCCTTAGGCCCATCCGCACCCGCTGCCCCCGCGGCGCATCCCGGCCCCGCTGTTCTCCTGAAGCCTCCGAACACCCGGACTCAACGTCCCCCCGGCCCTGACACCCCCGTACCCCCTTCCCCCGCCCGACCCCGACCCCGATCCAGACCCTGACCCTGATCCTGATCCTGATCCCGGTCCCGGTCCCGCCGCGTGCCCGCACCGCCTTCCCGGCGTGCCCTGCGCGCACACGCAGCTTCCGCTTCCTCCTGCTCTGGCCGCCATTTTGAGAGTGGCGCGCCCCTCCTCCGCAGCCTGCGGGCGGAAGAAGGAGAAGGATAACGGGTCCCTCAGAGGTGCAGTGAACAACAACGGGCCCTCTCGGTGCCGCGATCACAACCGTGTCCGTCCCCTCGGTGCTTTACCCACGGTCATGTCACCTTTGACCGCTCCAAGATGGCAGCACAGTCCCGACATGAGTGACTGCGCATGCGCACTACGCCGTCCGATGTTTTTTCCGGAAAAGGAAGTGACGCCATCAAGCCGGGCGGCAGGGCCCGGGCAGCGGAAGGCGGCGGCCGCCATCTTTGTTGGGGCCCTATGCCGGCGGAGAAGATGGCGCTGGACGGGCCCGAGCAGGTGCGGGCGGGCCGGACCGGGCTGGGGGAACCCGCGGAGCTCGGGGAGGCACTCGGGGCGCTTCGGTCTGCCCCGGGCTGTGCTGCGGCCGGGGCTGCTCGGGGCCTGGCAGCAGCATGACTCGGCGGGTCTGGGGAAGGCGGCGGAGCCTGAGCGGCGGGACGGGACCGGGACCGGGACCGGGACCGGGATCGGGACTGGGATCGGGAGACGGGAGTGGGATTGGGACCGGGACCGGGATCGGGGGGCTCGCAGGGGAACGGGAGCTGAGGCTGCTGTGGGCACCTGGGGTATCCAGGACTCGGCTCGGGGGTGTCGGGCAGGGAGTGAGGGGAGGGAAGGGACACTCGGGACGGGGTACCGGGGACTGGGACCGGGATGGGAGAGCGAAAAGAGGAGCCAGGAATCGGCCCGGCGGTGGTGATGGGAAAGTCGGGTTAGGGAATTAAGGCCGGCGGGGTGCGGGGGGTGTCGATGGCGCTGAGCTCTGCTGTCCCAGATGGAGATGGACGACGGGAAGGGCGGCTCGGGGCTCCGGCAGTATTACCTGTCCAAGATCGAGGAGCTGCAGGTGAGCACAGCTGCGGGGGACACCTGGACCGTGTCAGTGTGCTTCCGACCGGGATGGTGTGCCCGTGTCCCTGCCCGTGTCCCAGGGCTGTGGACAGGCAGGACCCTCCCTGGGGACATGAGCTGGGGCTGTGCTCTGAGCTGGAGGATGCTCCTGTCCAGGTCCCTGTCCCAGCTGCCAGAGGGCAGGGATGGATGGGATATTGGGAATTAGGAATTGTTCCCTGGGAGGGTGGGCAGCCCCTGGCACAGGGTGCCCAGAGCAGCTGGGGCTGCCCCTGGATCCCTGGCAGTGTCCAAGGCCAGGTGGGACGGGGCTTGGAGCAGCCTGGGACAGTGGAAGGTGTCCCTGCCATGGCAGGAGAGGGACGAGATGAGCTTTGAGATCTTTTCCAACACAAACCATTCCACAATTCCCTGTGCTGGGTGTGCCTGAGCCCAAGGCCTCTCAGCAGAGCCTTTCCCTGCAGCTCATCGTGAATGAGAAGAGCCAGAACCTGCGGCGGCTGCAGGCACAGAGGAACGAGCTCAACGCCAAGGGTAGGGGCTGCAGCTCCTCCTGCTCATCTGGAGCTGGGCCTGGGAGCTCTGGGTTGGGCTTTGGAGGGCTCTGGGCTGGGCCTGGGGGTCTTTGGGGGGCTCTGAGGTGGGCTTTGGTTGGTTCTGAGCTGGGCCTGGTGGCTCTGGGCTGGGCTTTGGGGGGCTCTGGGCTGGTCTTTGGTTGGTTCTGGGCTGGGCTTTGCAGGGCTCTGGGGGCTCTGGGCTGCGCCTTGGGGCTGCAGCTCCCAGGCTGGAGCTGAGCTGTCCCTCTGCAGTGCGGCTGCTGCGGGAGGAGCTGCAGCTGCTACAGGAGCAGGGATCCTACGTGGGAGAGGTGGTGAGAGCCATGGACAAGAAGAAGGTGCTGGTCAAGGTACGAGGTGACAGGGCTGGGCTGGGGGACAGCCCCGTGTCCCCAGAGGATGGGACAGCTCGGGGATGTGGGGTGGGAGCTCCTTGTGCAGAGGAGCTCGTTGGGATGGCTCTGCTGGGCCTGGGGCTGCCCTGGGGTGTGCAGTGGGGTTGGAGCTCCTGGCTCCTCCCAGGCCTTGGGGATGTCCTTCAGCAGGGAATTCCCAGGGAAACAACTCCTGGGGGTCTTTTCTCCTTTACAGGTGCACCCAGAGGGGAAGTTCGTGGTGGATGTGGACAAAAACATCGACATCAATGATGTGAGTGCCCCGGGGCTGTGAGGGGACACCCCAGGGCCGGCAGGGACACCCCAGGGCTGGCAGGGACAATCCCCTGCGTGCTGTCCCCACAGGTGACCCCCAACTGCCGCGTGGCGCTGCGCAACGACAGCTACACCCTGCACAAGATCCTGCCCAACAAGGTGGACCCGCTGGTGTCCCTCATGATGGTGGAGAAGGTCCCAGACTCCACCTACGAGATGATCGGGGGCCTGGACAAGCAGATCAAGGAGATCAAGGAGGTCATCGAGCTGCCCGTGAAGCACCCGGAGCTCTTTGAGGCGCTGGGCATTGCCCAGCCCAAGGCAAGTTCTGTTCTGGGGGGCCCTGGGCTGGGCTGTGCCCCGGGCAGGCTCTGAGGGGCCCTGTGGCTGTTGCAGGGGGTGCTGCTCTACGGCCCCCCCGGCACGGGGAAGACGCTGCTGGCGCGGGCCGTGGCCCACCACACCGACTGCACCTTCATCCGCGTCTCGGGCTCCGAGCTGGTGCAGAAGTTCATCGGGGAAGGTACCGTGTCTGTGTCCCTGTCAGGGCAGGTACCGTGTCTGTGTCCCTCTGTGAGCCTGTCAGGGCAGGTACCGTGTCTGTGTCCCTCTGTGAGCCTGTCAGGGCAGGTACCGTGTCTGTGTCCCTCTGTGAGCCTGTCAGGGACCCTCAGCCAGTCCTGAGTTGGCAGACAAGGGGGAGACACTCTCTGTGCCCCGAGGGTACTGAGGGCACCTGGGCTGGTCACCTTTGCAGCAGAAGAGACACCAGAGACATTAGTAGAAGATAAAGGGCTGACTCTTAGCAGGGGTTAATCCAAGGTTTTATTCTAGGAGTCCCAAAGGAACCCCTACACCTCAGGGGGCTCCTGCCGAGAGCCCCGGGAGACGTGCCAAGGTTACATTTAAAGGGAGGTGGAAACCCAAAGTAGATAACATTTTACTGACCAATAAGTGACCCTAAGGGATGGGTACTGGGGGATGGACATTTAGGACAGCGTTAATTTTCCTATTTAAATATAGGTTAGCCTATAGGCCAACCCTTGGCCTCTGGCTAATCACTCAAGGACCTGGACTGAAGCTTCTGGATGGAGGGGATTGGATGCTGAGTGATTGACAGAGAGCCAGGGTGGGGGTTTGGGGATGATCTCATCCTGGGAGAGGGATTACACAGGTAAAGGGAGGGGGGTACAGTCTGGGATAAACCATTTGGGAAAATATGGGGATACAAAAACAAAACTACCTCAAAGTACTACAAAGTATAAAAACACACTAAAACAGTACCGGGGTGGCTCTGGGGCTCCTGGGGCTGCATGGGCTTGGTGCCAGGCTGTGCCAGGCTGAGCCCTGTGCCTGCAGGGGCCCGCATGGTGCGGGAGCTGTTTGTGATGGCGCGGGAGCACGCGCCCTCCATCATCTTCATGGACGAGATCGACTCCATCGGCTCCTCCCGCCTGGAGGGCGGCTCCGGCGGCGACAGCGAGGTGCAGCGCACCATGCTCGAGCTCCTCAACCAGCTCGACGGCTTCGAGGCCACCAAGAACATCAAGGTAGAGGGGCTGGCCCTGCCTGGGGTCCTGCCAGCCCTGCAGTGCCCGGGGTGGTGACGGCTGTGCCCCTGTCCCCTGTGCAGGTGATCATGGCCACCAACAGGATCGACATCCTGGACTCGGCCCTGCTGCGCCCCGGCCGCATCGACAGGAAAATCGAATTCCCCCCTCCCAATGAGGAGGTACCAGAGCCACCCCCTACTGTCCCTGCTGTCCCCAACCTCTCCCTGGGAGCCATTCCCGGGCTCCAACCCTCCCTGTGCCCCTGCTCCAGGCCCGCCTGGACATCCTCAAGATCCACTCGCGGAAGATGAACCTGACCCGGGGCATCAACCTGCGGAAAATCGCGGAGCTGATGCCAGGGGCCTCAGGGGCTGAGGTGAAGGTGAGCTGGGGACTCTGGGCTGCCATGGGGGCTGCTGTGGGGGGCACAGGCTGATGCTCCCCTCCTGTCCCCTCAGGGTGTGTGCACAGAGGCAGGGATGTATGCACTGAGGGAGAGGAGAGTGCACGTCACACAGGAGGACTTCGAGATGGCCGTAGCCAAGGTGGGTGCTAGGGGAGAGGTGACACTGGGGGCACAAAGTGTCCTGGGTGGTGTTTGCCAGGAGCACAGACAAGGGGGTTGTCACCATGGGAGTGACATGGGAGAGGCTGCTGAGCCCTCCCTGTGCAGGGCTGTTGGGGTGGTCTTGGGGTGTTTTTGGGGTAATTAACACCCAATTTGGGCACTGAATGTTGGACCCACCCCTGTTCCCTCCCCCAGGTGATGCAGAAGGACAGTGAGAAGAACATGTCTATCAAGAAGCTGTGGAAGTAATGGTGAGGCTGGAGCTGCTCCCTCTGTGCTGTCAATAAAGAGCTGCTGTGGCCAGGCCTGGGTGCTGAGTTGGGGACTGATTTGGGTATGGGGTGGGGGCTGCAGGACACTGCACACCCCCAGAGCTGCAGGACACAGCACACACCCCTCAGAGCTGCTGCTAACTGCTTTTATTAGAAAAGATCCAAAATAGACAAAAACTGGTTACACAAGAGGCAGAGCAGGAACCCCTGAGCCCAACCCTGGGAATCTGTAAACGCCCCCCCACCCGAGCCTGCAGGGGGGCAAAGGCACTTCCGTGGGGTGGCAGTGGTGGCACTGCCCCCCTGGTCCCCTCCCTCCTCCCCAGTATCTCCAGTTCTTGGTGCCCCTGTGCCCCCACAGGCTCCTGGGGCAGAGCCAGCCTCTCTGCCCCCAAACCTCGTCAAGTCAAGTGGTTAATTATGGAATTATGTAAAACAGTGGGAAGGGGGGAAGGAATAAACTGATTGTCACAAAATGAGCCCCAGCCCGCGGCTCCGTAGCCCCAGAGCAGCCCTGGGAGCCTCCCTGAGCCCCTGCAGAGCCCAGTGCAGGAAGAGGAACTCAATCAATATATTAATTAATTAATCAAATACAAACCCACTGTACAAAATGCTGCCTTTTTTTTTTCTTTTTTCGTGTTTTTTTTTCTTTTTATATAAAACCTGTTCACAAAAATAGTGCAAAACGTCGGGGAGAGCTGGCGTTTGGAATGACGAACTTTGGTAGAAGAGGGGCAGGGCGGGGCTCGGGTGGGGCTGGCAGCTCCTCCCATGGGCTCGGGCAGCGCTTCCCGGCTCCAGGGGGGGTTTGGGGAACCCGCGGGGAGGGCGCGATGCAAAGCGGAGGAGGCGCTGCGGGGGCCTGGGGGGAGCGGGGACTCCGCTGTGCTCGGCCCGGGGGAGCCCCGGGGGGCTCCCACCCATCCCTCCAGGCACATGGGGTTTGTGCAAGTGCTGTGGCTTCCAGTCGGTACCGTCCGGCTCGGGCAGCCTTAGGTCAGGCGGATCCCGAGCACTTGTTCCAGTTCCTGCCGGCGCTGCTGGACCTGGGGACACCGCGGCCGTCAGGGAGGGACAAGGGGCACTGCCCGGGCTCCGGGGGCTCTGTCACCGCCATCCCGACCCCGTCCCCACCCCCGAGCTCACCTTGGCGAAGATGTGTCTGCCCACGGCCTCCTGCGCCCAGGGCTGCTGGTAGAACTCGGCCCGCCGCTCCTCCTCGGGGTTCCCGATCACATCCGTGATGATCTGACCCGAGCGGGACGGGGCAGTGGGAGTGAGGGATCCAGAGGGATCCACGGGGGACCCAGACCCCTCCCTGAGCTCCGGGATGGACCCAGACCCCTCCCTGAGCTCCGGGATGGACCCAGACCCCTCCCTGAGCTCCGGGGATGGACCCAGACCCCTCCCTGAGTTCCAGGATGGACCCAGACCCTTCCCTGAGCTCCAGGATGAACCCAAACCTTTCCCTGAGCTCCGGGATGGACCCAGACCCCCTCCCTGAGCTCTGGGATGGACCCAGACCCTTCCCTGAGCTCCAGGATGAACCCAAACCTTTCCCAGAACTCCAGGATGGACCCGGACCCTTCCCAGAACTCCGGGATGGACCCAGACCTTTCCCTGAACTCCGGGATGAACCCAGACCCCTCCCTGAGCTCTGGGATGGACCCAGACCTTGCCCTGAACTCCGGGATGAACCCAGACCCCTCCCTGAGCTCTGGGATGGACCCAAACCCCTCCCTGAGCTCCGGGATGGACCCAGACCCCTCCCTGAGCTCTGGGATGGACCCAGACCCCTCCCTGAGATCCGGGATGAACCCAGACCCCTCCCTGAGCTCCGGGATGGACCCAGACCTTTCCCAGAGCTCTGGGATGGACCCAGACCCCTCCCTGAGCTCTGGGATGGACCCAGACCCCTCCCAGCCCCCCACTCTGCCCAGCCCCAGGGCTTCAGAGTCATACAATTGTTAGGGTTGGAAAAAACCTTCCACCCTTAGCCCAACACCTCCACCACGTTCACCAGTGCTCCATGTCCTCAAGGGCCACATCCATGGTTCTGGACCCCTCCAAGGATGGGGACTCCACCACTGCCCTCTGTGCCAGCACTGGACAACCCCTTCCAGGAAGAAATTTCTCCCAATATCCAACCTAAACCTCCCCAGAATTGTTCCCCTTTACCTTGAGGTCCCTCCTCTGGGATTTGATCCACTCCTGGATGAAATCCTGGGGGTTGTTGCTGAAGCTCAGCATGAAATCCCTCTGAGTCTTCAGCTGGTTGATGGACTCGATGGTCTCGTGGATCTGGGCAGGTGACAGGGGTCAGAGGAGCTGTGTCCCCTCACAGGACACAGCTGGCCCCTGGCAGTGTCCCCTCCCACCTTGGCATCCAGGGAGGCGATTTCCTGCTGGTTGGTGGTGGAGGCCAGGAAATTGCTCATCTGGGCTTTGAGGGGATCGTCCACCTCCACGTCGATGTCGTAGCAGGCTGTCTTCTTCTGGTCATTGGGGTCCACACTGGGGCAATGGGGTTGGGCTGAGCCCCCACCTGGCTGGGGTGGATGGACCCCCAACAGCAACACCAGTGCCCCAGAAAGCCTCAAATTTGGTGGTTCTTCCCCTTCCAGGTGACTTGGGCTGGTCCTTCAGGCTGGAGACCTCAAAGCCTCCTGTGCCCCTGGCGCATGGAGCCCCCCAGCCCTGGGGACACTGCTGGGCCCACAGAGCCCCCCCAGCCCTGGGGACACTGCTGGGCTCACAGAGCCCCCCAGCCCTGGGGATGCTGCTGGGCTCACAGAGCCCCCCAGCCCTGGGGACACTGCTGGGCTCACAGAGCCCCCCAGCCCTGGGGACACTGCTGGGCTCACAGAGCCCCCTAGCCCTGGGGACACTGCTGGGCTCACTCCCCACCCTACTGAGCACTCCCAGCCCTGGGGACACCTCCTGGCCCATGGAGTGCCCCAGTCCCAGGGACACTGCCCACTCTCCACTCCATGGGGCACCCCAGTCCTGCAGACACTTCCCCATCCCATGCAGCCCCTTCAGCCCCCTCCATTGCCCACCCAGTGCCCAGCCCAGTGCTGTGCCCAGGCTGTGCCCCCACCTGATGGTGTGGTTGATGATGATGGGGTCTGGGTGCTGCAGGAGCCCTGCCAGCTTCATGGGGATCTCGGAGAAGCGCATGCGGACGCAGTTGAAGATCTGGGGGGCAAAGCAGAGCCTTGGACACCCATGGCTGGGGCATCCCCAAGCTGGTGGTGCAAGCCAGGGCCCAGGGCAGGGGCACAGCCAGAGCCTGGAGGGGCTGTGGGAGCTGTGGGAGGCTTTTCCCAGCTGGATGAGGGGGGAATGTGCAGGTACCTGGCGGAAGTAGCGGTTGCAGTTGATGAACTCCTTCTCGTGGCTGTCCTGCAGTTTGTTGTGTTTGATGTAGAGCCACAGGGCCTGCATGATGCTGGCCCTGGTCTGGGTGTGCACCCCCAGCAGCCGGGCCAGCCGTGGGTCCAGCTTGTACTGGGGGGGCTGTGGGGACAGCTGGGGTCAGCCATGGGAGCAGCCAGGCTGGAAAAGCCCCCCCAGAGCAGAGCCCAGCCTGACCCACCCCTGTCCTGACCCCAGCCCAGAGCACTGAGTGTCCAGGGACAGCTCAAGGGATGGGTCACTCCATGGGCAGCTTGTTCCACTTTTTAACTCCCTTTCCACAGAGAAATTCCTCCTGCTGCCCAAAGAAAATGCACTCAGGAGTCCCCCACAGCCCCTGTGTCACTGCAGCTCCATGCCCAGAGCTCCTTGTGCACCTTTTGATCCCTACATCCCCCAAACCCTCATCCAAAGCCCTGTCCTAGTCTTTAACTCCCTTTCCATGGAGAAATTCCTCCTGCTGCCCAAAGAAAAGGCACTCAGGAGTCCCCCCCAGCCCCTGTGTCACTGCAGCTCCATGCTGGGAGTTCCCTGTGCTCCTTTCGATCCCTACACCCCCAAACCCTCATCCTAGGTCCTGTCCCAGCTTTTAACTCCCTTTCCATGGAGAAATTCCTCCTGCTGCCCAAAGAAGAGGGGGTGTCTGTCTGGCCCTTGGGAGGCCCCCCCAACCCCTGTGTCACTGCAGCTCCATGCCCAGAGCTCCCTGTGCTCCTTTTGATCCCTGCAGGCCCCAACCTTCATCCAAAACCCCGTCCCCGTCTTTAACTCCCTTTCCATGGAGAAATTCCTGCTGCTGCCCAAAGAAGAGGCACTCAGGAGTGTCCCCCCCAGCCCCTGTGTCACTGCAGCTCCATGCCTGGAGCTGCCTGTGCTCCTTTCAATCCCTGCACCCCAAACCCTGGCCCAAAGCCCTGTCCCAGCCCATCCCCACCCCTGGGTGCCCCCCAGGCCGTACCTGGTGGTCCAACATGAGCAGCAGGGTGCACTTCACATTGACATCCCCGGGACGCTTCACCTGGAAGCCGTCGGTCTCCTGGGTCGTGGGCATCCGGTGCCACTGCCAGGGACAATGGGGACACAGCTCAGGCAGGGCTATGGAACCAACCCTGCCAGCTGGGCTGGGGCTCTGGCCAGGGGCTGGCACAGCCACACAGCCTGGGGCACCCCTGGCAGCTCCTGGTCCCACTGGTGGCAGCTCAGAGCTCTCCCAGGCTGTGCCCCAGCACTGGGATGGACTGGGGCAGTTCCAGCCCTGAGTGCTTGGGGTGCAGGGCTCCCAAAGCTTCTGGATCAATCCTGCAGGAATGTGCACCAGAGCTGCTCCCAGCTTCCTCTGGAAGGGGATTCAGCCTCTCCCAGGGCAAAAGCAGGAGCTGGGTGCAGGGAGAGCTGCAGGCAGGAGCACCCAAAAAAGCCCTGATCCCTCTCCCAGGCAGGGGACAGGCAGGAGGGCAAACCCTTCTTCCCCCAGGGCCCTCGGGTGAGGCTCTGTGGGGTCAGCAGCCTGTGGGGACCCAGCTGTGCCAGCCTGGGGGACAGCTGCCCCTGGGGCCACGTCCCTGTCCCCACACACCTCAGCTCCAGCTCTGGCTCAGACCTGGCCTGGGAGGGGGCAGAGCTGAGCTCTGCCAGGGGCAAAAGGGCATCTCTAAACCTGAGCTGGGAATGCAGCAGAGGCTGGTCCCCATGGAGAGCCTGGCACTGCCCCAGCCCCAAAAACCTGTTCAGGTCCCTCTCCCAGCAGGACAGGCCCTGGCCTGGGAGCTGAGCACCCAGAGGGGGAGCACAGGGCCCCATTTCCACTGGGATCCCCTCCCAGCTCACCTCCACCAGGTGATTGTCTGGCCCATAGAGCTCCTTGTCCAGCTCGATCACGAGGCTCTTGAAGAAGGAGGAGAACTTCCTCTTCTGCTTGCTGGGCTGCAGACAGGGCAGCAGAGATTCCTGAGCCCAAACCCAGCCCCAGGCCCCAGGTGCTGCCCCAGCTGAGCTCTCAGCACAGCACCAGTGCTCCCAGCACCACCTCATCCCTCCTGGAGGGTCCTCAAGGACCAATGCTCCTTCTCCCACCTCCTCATCCCTCCTGCATCCTTATGGACCAGTGCTCCCACCACCTCTTCATCCCTCCTGGATCCTTATGGACCAGTGCTCCCACCACCTCCTCATCCCTCCTGCATCCTTATGGACCAGTGCTCCCAGCACCACCTCATCCCTCCTGGAGGGTCCTCAAGGACCAATGCTCCTTCTCCCACCACCTCATCCCTCCTGCATCCTTATGGACCAGTGCTCCCACCACCTCCTCATCCCTCCTGGATCCTTATGGACCAGTGCTCCCACCACCTCTTCATCCATCTTGGATTGTTATGGACCAGTGCTTCTCCTCCCACCATCATTTTTCTCTCCTGAGTCCTGATGGACCAGAGTTCCTCCCACCACCTCCTCATCCCTCCTGGATCCTTATGGACCAATGCTCCTTCTCCCACCTCCTCATCCCTCCTGCATCCTTATGAACCAGTGCTCCCACCACCTCCTCATCCCTCCTGGATCCTTATGGACCAATGCTCCCAGCACCTCTTCATCCATCTTGGATTGTTATGGACCAGTGCTTCTCCTCCCACCCTCATTTTTCTCTCCTGAGTCCTGATGGACCAGAGTTCCTCCCACCACCTCCTCATCCCTCCTGGATCCTGACACACCAGCTCCTCCCTCCCTCCCTCCCTCCCTCCCCCTGGATGTTCCTCGTGGACCAGAGCTCCTCCTCCCACCACCTGATCCCTCCTGGATGAACTCTATGGACCAGAGTTCTTCCCACCAGCACCTTATCCCTATTCCAGCTCCTCCCACCAGCACCACTCCATCCCGCCTGGATCCTGACCAGCTCCTCCCTCCATCCCCCTGGATGCTCCCGATGGACCAGAGCTCCTCCCACCACCTGATCCCTCCTGGATGATCCCCATGGACCACAATTCTTCCCATCATCACCAATCCATCCCTCCTGGATCCTGACCAGCTCCTCCTTCCCTCCCTCCCCCTGGCTGCTCCTGATGGACCAGAGCTCCTCCCACCACCTGATCCCTCCTGGATGATCCCACGGACCAGCTCCTCCCACCATCACCACTCCATCCCTCCTGGATCCTGACAAACCAGCTCCTCCCTCCCTCCCTCTCTCTGGATGCTCCTGATGGACCAGAGCTCCTCCTCCCACCAGCACCTCATCCCTATCCCAGCTCCTCCCACCACCACCAGTCCAACCCTCCTGGATCCTGACCAGCTCCTCCCTCCCTCCCTCTGGCTGCTCCTGATGGACCAGAGCTCCTCCCACCACCTGATCCCTCCTGGATGATCCCACGGACCAGCTCCTCCCACCAGCACCAGTCCATCCCTCCTGGATGATCTCCATGGACCAGAGTTCTTCCCATCATCACCAATCCATCCCTCCTGGATCCTGACCAGCTCCTCCCTCCCTCCCTCTCTCTGGATGCTCCTGATGGACCAGAGCTCCTCCTCCCACCAGCACCTCATCCCTATCCCAGCTCCTCCCACCACCACCAGTCCAACCCTCCTGGATCCTGACCAGCTCCTCCTTCCCTCCCTCCCCTTGGATGCTCCCAATGGACCAGAGCTCCTCCCACCACCTGATCCCTCCTGGATGATGCCCATGGACCAGAGTTCTTCCCACCACCACCAGTCCATCCCTCCTGGATCCTGACCAGCTCCTCCCTCCCTCCCTCCCCCTGGATGCTCCCGATGGACCAGAGCTCCTCCCTCCATCTCCTCACATCCTCCAGCAGCTTCCCCTCCACACGGAGCTCCCAGGAGGCCACACGTTCCCCCCCCTCTCCCTCCTCCTTGGCCGGGGTGAAGGTGTTGGAGATGTAAATCCTGAGCTTGCGCTTTTGCTGTGGAATGGGAACAGAGAGAGGCAGGATGGAGTCAGAGGGACTGCAGCACCCAGCTCCAGCTCAGCATCAGAGGAAACGGCCTCAGGGGGGGTCTAGATTGGATATTAGGGAACATTTATCCATGGGAAGGGTTGGAAAACATTGGATGGACTGCCCTGGGCAGAGGTGGAATCCCCCATCCCTGAAGTGCCCCAGAAACCCGTGGATACCCCACCTGGGGACATGGCTTAGGGTGATGGTTGGACTGGATGACCTCAGGGGATTTTTCCAACCTTCATTTTCCCATGATTCCATGATTCCCAGCCCCTGCCAGGCCCCAGCTCACCGTCAGGGGTTTCTTGATGGCCTCCTGGATCTCCATCCTCTTGCGGGCAATGGTTTGGTCCAGCTTGCGCTCGAAGGCCAGCAGGTCCATGTAGGCCTGGGATTCTGGGACCAGCTCCCGGATCTGCACACAGGAATGGTCAATCCCAGCCTGCTGGCATGGGCTGGACCCCCCACAGCCCCAGCAGCCAGGGAGACACCAGGTGATGAGTCCAGCACCCAGCTTTTATTTCAAACCCAGCCTGGAGCCCTGCAAAGCTCTGCCCAAACCAGTCTGGAGGCTGTTGCTGTTCCCAGCAGCATTCCTGCATGGAATGGAACCCTGGAATCTCAAGAGGGACTCTTAGGGATCTCCTGAGATCTCCATCCCACCCCATTCCTGCTCCTTGCTTGCTCAGACTCCAACCCCACAGACAGAAACACTCCAGAGTGGTTTGGGATTGAACAGAAATTCCCAGGGGGCAGGAGGGAGCTCAGGGAAATCCCCCCTTTTTGGGGACCCCCCATCCCCTGCAGCAGCTCAGCTCTGTCCCCCAGGCTGAGGTGACACTCACCCTCTGTGGCAGCACCTTGTCAGCCATCTTCCTCCTCTTCACCCTGGGAAACAGGGAAAATGGGAGCTCCCACAGGACACCCTGCTGCCTGCCCTCTGGGGGGACGGACACTGGGAAAGGTTCTTCACCACCCCAGAGGTGCTGGCACTGCCCAGGCTCCCCAGGGAATGGTGCCAGAGCTCCAGGAGGGTTTGGACAGCGCTGCCAGGGATGCCCAGGGTGGGATTGTTGGGGGGTCTGGGGGCTGGGGGTGGGACTGGATGAGCCTTGGGGGTCCCCTCCCACTCAGGATATTCCTGGGGGAAGGTGCTGGATGTTGCAGCCTGACCCCGGGGAAGAAAATCCAAGTGATAACAAGGCAAAGGCAGGGCTGCAGGACACAATTCCCTAATTTCCCCTCTCAAAGCAGCCATCCCATTCTCCCACTGCTCCAAACCAAAGCCACTGCCAGGAACTCCCTTACACCCAGCTCAAACCAAGCCCGGCTGTGGTGGGGCTGAAATCCTGGGAAAATCCAGCTTGGCTGGATCCAACCCTGCCCACTGCAGATTCCCATCACCCTGAGCCCACCCCAGCAGCTCCTGCTCAGCCTGGGCACAGCAGGGAATGCTCTGCTCTCCTGTTTTCCTGCTGGGACATGGGTCCAGCAGCACAGGGAATTCCTGTTCCTCCAGCTGCACCTGGAGCAGCAGGATCACACAGGAGGGCTCCAGGAGAACTCTCCAGGAGAGGTCAGAGCCCTGCTCTGGAGCAATTCCTGCCCCATCCAACCCCTCCTCCTGCAGGGTCTGGACACCCCAGGGCAGCTGGAAGCTCCTCATCCCTTGCTCCAGCAGCTGTGAGCAGGGCATGCCCAGCTGTGAGCCTGGCTGCTCCCTGACCCCAGCCCTGATGTCCCTGTGGGTGCCAGGCTGCTCCTGTCCCCAGCCCCCAGCTCTGCAGTGCTGGGATGGCCCAGGAGGCCAAAGGAGCTGCCAGGGAAGGGAATGGGAGCTGAGCATCCACGAGCACCAAGGGATCCTGCCTGGAGATCCTAGGAACCGACCAGCCCCCACAGAGGGATCAGCAGGGCTGGCAATCAGTGAGGAGCTGCTGGCAGAGCCCAAACAAAGAGTCCTGCCCTGACTGCAGCTCCAGGGAGCATCCCCAAAACCTGCCAGCTTCATCCCACACATCCCAAAACCTGCCCACACTTCCCAAAATCTGCCACCCTCTCCCACGCTTCCCAAAACCTGCCAGCCCCATCCCACACATCCCAAAATCTGCCACCCAATCCCACACATCCCAAAATCTGCCACCCAATCCCACACATCCCAAAACCTGCCACCCCATCCCACGCATCCCAAAATCTGCCAGCCCATCCCACACTTCCCAAAATCTGCCACTCCATCCCACACATCCCAAAATCTGCCACCCAAGCCCACACATCCCAAAACCTGCCACCCCATCCCACACTTCCAGCCACTTCTGTGCTTGTCAGAGCCACCAGGCACCCCTGGGAGGATGAAGAAGACCCCCAGGAGCTGCTGCTGGGAATCCCACAAGGCTCTTTGGTTCCTGGTGTGGAGATCAGAGTGAGAGGAAGCTGCAAACTGAGGAATCTCTGCCTCCATCCTAAAACATCCCATTCCCAAGCTCTGGCAGGTGCCAGGCTGGAGGAAAACCCTGCTGGTGCCCCCCTCTGCAGCAGGACAGGAGCTGTGGCACTCTGCATGATGTGACACTTGAATGGGGACCTGGAGAGGCTTAGTGGTCTCAAAGGGAGTCAAACACTGACTGAACCCAGCCCTGGGACCCCTGTCCTGAATGGAATTACATCCATCTTTTTACAGCTCTGTATCTGCAGTGACATCTCACGATATCTACATTGATATTAAATATTATTTATATTTATATAGGTATTTCCAGAACAGGGCTCTCCTGTGCTCTGGAGAAGATCCTGTTGGGAATGAATTATTGTACCTGCTCCTGACATAGCTTATTATTATTATTATTATTATTATTATTATTATTATTATTATTATTATTATTATTATTATTATTATTATTATTTAGTGTATTATTATATTATTAATAACTAATATTACAATATTCTTGATAGCTATATCATAATTATGATTTAATTTTATTATATTAATTATTAGCAGCTCCTGGCTCAGTTCAGATGGAAAACAAGTGGTGAAACACAACCTGGCTGCATTGAGAAGCAGGGATGCAGCTCCCATGGATTAGTGTGGTAGTCCTGGGAATGGTCCAGGAGCTTGGAGCACTCTGGGAGAGTGGAAGGAGCCCTGGGGTGGGCCTGGGGTGGGCCCCGGGGTGGGCCCCGGGGTGGGTCTGGGTGGGCCCTGGGTGGGCCCTGGGGTCCCTCCACCCCAGCCACCCCCCGATTTCACCAAGTGCAGCCAGGGCCCCGCAGGATCCCCCCTCCTGCCCTGGGGAGGGACACACCAGCCTTACCCTCTCCTGGGGGTGGCCATGGGTGGCTGTGCCTGGGGGGTCAGCAGGCGCTTCCTGAAGGGATCCATCATGGCCTGGGGCAGGCCGGGCCTCAGCGGCGTCGCTGCTCCGTACGGGGGGGCCCCCGGGGGTCCCACCTGCAGCCCTGCCATGGGCATCCGGCCCCCGGGGGGCATCCCAGGCCGCTGCTGCACAGGGGGGACAGGGCTCAGATGGGATCCTGGCTGTGGGGCTGGCCACCCTCTGTGCCAGCCATCCTCAGTGCCACCCACCTCTGTGCCACCCACCCTAGGTGCCATCCACCTTGGTGCTACCCACCCTCTGTTCCACCCACCCTGGGTGCCATCCCCTTTGTGCCATCCACGTCTCTGCCACCCATCCTCAGTGCCACCCACCTCTGTGCCACCCACCCTCTGTGCCACCCACCCTCTGTGCCATCCCCTTGGTGCCATCCACCCTGGGTGCCATCCCCTTTGTGCCATCCACGTCTCTGCCACCCATCCTCAGTGCCATCCACCTCAGTGTCACCCACCCTGGGTGCTACCCACCCTCAATGCCATCCACCCGGGGTCCCATCCCTTTGGTGCCACCAATCCTTGGTGCCACCCACCCTCAGTGCCATCCCCTTGGTGCCACCCACCCTCGGTGCCCTCCACCCTCGATGCCATCCACCTTGGTGCCACCCATCCTTGGTGCCATCCAGCTCTGTGCCATCCCCTGGGTGCCATCCACCTTGGTGCCACCCACCCTCGGTGCCACCCCTTCCCCAGGCTGCATCCTGGCCCAGGGCAGAGAATGCCAGCAGGAAGCTTTGGGAAAGCAGGAACAGGAGAGGCCAAGGAGTGCAGGGAAGCCTGGCCTGGCAGCAGTGGAGCCAAAGTCAGGCCCTGTGCCACCCCCACAGCAGCACCAGGGCACTGCCAGCAGTGTCCCCACCCTGGGGACCTCGTGGGTTCCCCTCTGGACAGCAGCAGAGCAGGGGGACAGGGCAATCCCACTTCCTCCCACAGGGATGGAGGAGGCAGCAGCTCCCCCCTGGCAGCAGCCTGTCCCCTCCTGCCCCTTCCACACATGGAATTTGGGAGCCACAACACAGCCCCGAGGGCTCCCAGCCCTGGCAGCCCCTCTGCAGCCTCAGAGCATGATTGGGCAGCACCCACTGGTGCCCCAGGTGCCACCAGGACCCACCAGCCACCCCTCCTGCTCCTCCCTGCTTCACCTGGGGATCCTCAGCTCCCCCTGCCGAGGTGGGAGGCTGGGAGAGCCACCGAGCCAGCAGAGCAACATTTCTGCCCTGCCCCAGGCTCCTGACGTGCCAGGACATCCCCACAGCCCTGCAGGGCAGGGAGCCAAGCAAACACCTCACTCCCTGCACACAGGGATACATCTGGGAGCAATCCCTGGATGCAGGGTTGGGAATATGGGATGCAGCCAGCCTGCCCTCCACAGCTCAGAGCTGTGGCAGGGTTGGTTTGATGGAGCTGCAGCCAAAAAAAACCCTAAAAACCACCCCCAGCTGTGTGAAAAGCTGATAAACACCAAGCCAAGAGCTGCCCCTGGTGCCTCTGGCAGTGGCCAATGCCCAGAGGAGCAGTGTTCCAGCAGGATCAGGGCAGCAGCAGGGCCCCAGGATTAGGCTGCACGTGGAAGCTCAAACCCCCCAGGCCCAGGCTGAGCCCTGTTACACAACAAGCACAAGCACACAGGCTGCAGAGCCTTTGAAGCAGCAAGCCCAGAGCCAGGCTCTGACCCTCCCTTCCCCAGGGCAGGAGGCTCCTTTTTCCTGCTCCCAGATGTTCCTCTCCTCCTGCTCAGCCCCGTTTGTGCAGCTCCTCGTGACTCTGGCACCTCTCTGTGCCAAAACCACGAGGCCAGGCCCAGTTTCTTTGGGTTTATCAAGAAATCCCTTGTGGCAGGGCCGGGTGGACCCACAGCCTGTGCAACACCACAAACCACAGTGGAGGTTGTTCTGCTGTTCAGTTCCAGCAGGACTGTGGAACCCAAAGCTGTGCTGACACCTGCCAGGGCTTCTGAAAAGCAGAGAAACCCCCCAGAAGGAGCTGGGAAACTTTGAATTTGAAATTCCTGGGGCCCCAGAGCAGCTGAGTGCAGAGCCCAGGCTGGAAGCAGAGGCTGCACTCCCTGGAGGCACCAGGAGCAGGAAATGGCTCCCAGGGAAAGCCCCGGGTGTTTATCAGTGCCTGGAAGGCCAGGGAGGCTCCCCAGCTCCAGAGACATTCCCTGCCCTGGGAATACTGTCAGGAGCCTGCTTGGAGCTGCCCCAGCCATGCCCAGCTCCTGCCCTTCAGGCAGAGCAGCCCTGAGGTCTCTCCTCCCTCCCTCTGCCCCTCCATGGAGCACATTTTGGATCTTGCCCTGAAGTGAGAGATTTGGAGGCTTCAGAGAGTCTCTGACAGCTCCACATCCTGGGCAAAGTCTCGTGTGTCCAGCTGCTCCTTCCAGGGCTCCATTGAGACAATTCCATCGGCAGGGAGAGGTTCAGCACAAGGATACACAGATTTGTCACACTTTAACTTCACCAAACATCTGAGAACCATCAGCCACAGCTCAGCTGCCAGGGAGCGACTTCCAGCCCACCAAGGACCCACACTGGACTGCCTGGATGAGCAATAAAGGGAGGGCAGAACCCTCCACGTGGAATTTTCCTCTCAGTTTACTCTCAGGATTTTCAAATTTGCAACAGAGAAGCCTCTTGGCTCAATCAGTCACCAGTGCCTGGGGCAGATTTGCTCCCAAACCCTTCTCACACAAGCCCAGCCTAAAACCTTCAGCCAAGCCAGGAAGCAGCACCACAGCCCCAGGGTGAAGCCTGTCTGCAGCCCCTCTTGGAAAGTCTGGAAATTCCCAGGATGCAGAGGGCTTAAACTCAGGAAATTTGATTAAACCAGCTCTGAGCAGGAGCTCATTCCTGCCCAGCACCCCCAGGCACTGTGCCACCCCCAGGGCCCACCCTGTCCCCTCCCCTCGGAGGGGCAGACAAAGGGCAAACCCTGCAAGCTCAGCGGGAGGAAGAGCCTGGATCCCATCCAGAGCTCCCTGCAGAGCCTCTGGAAATGGGACAGTGAACAGCTCGTGTTTGCTCCCTGCCAGGGACGGGGCTGTGCCCAGGGTTCATGCCAGGGCACTGCTCAGCCCACGGGCCTGGGGCAGCTCTGCCCAGAACCGGCCCTGGCTGAACCCATCAGAGCTGGGAGGGCTCCTGAGGGATTCTGCTGGCATGGCAGGAGCCTCTGAGCCTGCCAAAGGTCCCTGCTTGAGGAAGGGCAGCCCAGAAATCGGGGGCTGGTAGCAGGAAGGAGGAGCAATAAATCCCAGGATGGATCTGCAGGAAGAAGCTGGGCTGGAGAGAGAGCTTGAGGCAAAGCAGGAATTCTGCAAACAGCTCCAGAGCCTGTTCATGGCCCTTCCAGGACCCTGGCTCCTCCTGCACCTCCCCAGCCCCTCCTGGCTGCTCCAGGATCCAGCTCTGCACAGTGACAGGAACCAGGGAACCAGAGCTCACATCCATCCTCGCCCTGGGCTCTGGAGCACAGCATGGCCCAGCACCAAGAGCTCTTCCTGCAAGTTCCTCCCCTGGTGCCCAGGCAGCAGCACTTCCCACAGGGATACAGAAACAGTCCCTGCTCAAACAGGGCTCCAGCTCCACGCTGGGCTGGCCTCCAGGAGAGCTCTGCTGCCCAGGGCTTGGCGTGGATTGGGATCATGAGCCCCCTGCACACCCCAAAAGAGTGATTTTCCCCTTTGTTCCTCCTTATCTGTGAGCAAATCCCTCTTGGGAGGGTGCCAGGGAGAGCCTGGCTTGCTGCTGGCACAGACCTTGAGCTGGGAGGTGCTGCTGGGATGGAGATGCTGCTGCTGCTGCAAACTCTGCTGCAGCTCCCTGCAAACCCCAAACTCCCCACACTTGGAAAAGCTCCGTGTTGGACACAGGAAGAGCTTCAGGAGCCAGATCTCAGCTGTAAAGCTGACATGAGGAAGTGGTAAATCAAAAGGAGAAGGGCACAGCACAGGCACAGCCCCCAGCAGACCCAGGACACATCCTGGAATGTCTCCAGCAGCAGCAGAGCTGTCTGGGCTGGACAAACCTGCCTGTCCACAGCCCTGCAGCTGGAGCCCTGAATGTTCCAGGGCAGGGAACGGAGAGGTCACAGGGATTCAGATCCCACAGGGGCAGGAACAGCAGCAGGAACAAGGAACAAAGGTGCTGGGGAGGAACAGCCACGGGCCTGGCACAAACCCTGCCCGTGGTGCTCCTGCAGGGCCAAACCTCCTGGAGGGCTCCTGTGGAAGCAGAGGGAGCAGCAGGGCTGGAGGTGCTGCTGCTCCCCCTTCCCTGTCACGTTTCCCAGGAGCAGCAGAGCGTGCCTGGGCTCTGCTCTGCCCTCCTCCCCCTGCTCCAGAGGACAGTGTCCATCTGCTTTGGATCAGGCTGGAAGCAGCTCCAGGCTGGGCTCTGATGAAACCTGCCTTGGAAAGCCTGTCCCTGGGGAAGGGTGGGGTTCTCCAGCACCAGCAGCCTCCTGGAACAGCTCCAGCCCTGCCTGCTGGCCCCTGGCCCCCTCCAAGGCAATCCCCAGCACTGCATGAGCAGGAACACGGCTCTCCTTGCTCCCCAAGGGGGGATTTCTCCCACACTGCACCCTCTCCAGCACGTCCAGGCCTCCCCAGCTTCACCTGGTACAACATTCCACACTTCTTCAACTCCATGGATTTCTCCATGAAGCACAACCTTCCTTCCCACTGCCCAGGGACAGAGCTGCTTCCAGCCTTGGGAATCCTCAGGCTGCAGCAGCCTCCTGGCCAGGGAATCCAGGCTCTGTCTTCCCAACATGTGCCTATAAAATCCATTTAATGGGGACCTAATTCTGCACCAGGGAAGCATCAGCTGGGGGCAACTGCAAGGTCAGAGTGCTGACTTCCAAGGTCTCATCCCACGCTGCTCCAAGACACTGTGTTAATCCCAAAACTTGGGAAAAACCCTCCTAACCCTGAAACCAGCACCTAAAAAACCAGGAAGGCTCCTTCCTGCTGAACTTCCATGGAACCTGGCTGCTGGGGCTCAACCTGGGAACCTGGCTGCTCCAGGGCAGGGAGAGAGATCAGGATGGGGCCCACCAGCTCTGATCTTCCTGCTCCTAGAAAAGGCTTCTCCTTCCTGCTCCAGGCATGGCACCAGCCCCTGGCTGCTCTGGAAACATCAGCTCCCACCAAAGGTGCCCCCTGGATTCCCTGCCTGGGCTGCCAGGAAATCCCCAGCAGGCACACAAGGATGTCCAAAGGACGAGCATATGTTGAATAATCCCAAGATTAGAGCTCCTAAGCCCTCGCTGGCCTGGCCAGGGCCTCTTCTGTCTCCTGGTGCACAAACAACGCAGCTCTTCCTAAAACTGGGACAGAACCAAGCCCTGGGGGGATGGCAGGGAGGGGAGGGGCTGTTTTCCTCAGCCTAAGAATTGCAAAACAAAGGGCAGACCCTCGGGATCCTCTCCTTTCCCAGGCTCAGGGAGAGGCCACCCAACACCAGCCCGGGGGCTGATCCTGCTGTGCCAGCGGTGCCAGACACCGCGGGGACATCAACATGGGGACATTACCGTGGGGACATCACCGAGGGGACATCGCCCCCTGCTCCCAACACCTGCTGCCAGCCCAGCCGCGGGGGAAGCAGCATCTGCCAGCCTGTTTACTCCCAGCTGGATTTTGCACCCTGCACATGGAAGGTCAGGCAGTGCCCCCGCCTCGAGTTACCAGCGGTTCATGCTCGGCCAGCTCAGCTTCCAACACCATTTTCTGGCGTTTTCAAGGCTGCAGGAGGAAGTTGTTTCCTTCTCCTGTGTTAAGGAGCCGGAATTTCCCTGAGCTTGGTTTATTTCCTGAGTTTTAAATCATGCAAATCAGACGCAGCTCTGGAGGAGGCAGCGGCGGCCCAGGAGAACGTGTTGCACAACGGGGCTCCTCCATTTCCAGCCTGCCTGGAAAATTGAGCTTCACATCTGAAAACTCATCCCAAAGTAATCAGCACAAGCTTGGGAGTGAACTGGGAAGCCAGGTGTGCAAGGGGGAGCAGAAATGGGTGTCAGGATATACTTCTTACTGCTGGAATAATATAGAAACATGGAATTGGGTGGGAAGGGACCTTAAACCCACCCAGTGCCAGCCCTGCCATGGCAGGGACACCTTCCACTAGCCCAGGCTGCTCCAAGCCCCAGTGTCCAACCTGGCCTTGGGCACTGCCAGGGATCCAGGGGCAGCCCCAGCTGCTCTGGGCACCCTGTGCCAGGGCCTGCCCACCCTGCCAGGGAACAATTCCTAATTCCCAATATCCCATCCAGCCCTGCCCTCTGGCACTGGGAGCCATTCCCTGTGTCCTGTCCCTGCAGGCGCTTGTAAACACAGTTCTTACTTCCTGAATTTACTTTTAAAAGATGCCAGGCTGAAGAGCGAGCGATTTCACGTGCTCTCGGAGGGCTGCTCGTTGTTTTGATTTACTTTCCCCCACATTACTTAATTTACTTTCCCCAACATTACCGAGCGCCTGCTCCCCTGTCCCACCGCCAACCAAGCCCGGTCCTTCCGGAGGGCACACCGAGGATACTCCGAGGTTACACCGAGGCTACATCTGCACACCACGCGTTACCTCCGCCTTTGACAAGGACACGAACGCGTTCCCGGCTCGGTGCCGGGGATGGGACGGGCAGGGTCGGGCCGGCTGCGCAACCGGATCGGACCCGGGGCCCAGGGCAGCGACCCCGGCCTGGGCCCGGCTCACCCGCTGAGGAACGGCACGGGCCGGGCCCAACTTTGAGCGGGCTCTGAGGGTGCAGAGGCAGGAGGGAACAGGGAGGTGCCCCGGCTAACAGAGAGGTGTCCCGGCTAACGGGGGCAGCAGAACGGCCGCACCGGGGGTGCCGGGCCCGCTCCGGGCGATACCGGCCAGGCCCGGCCGCGCTGCCCCGGGAAGGCCCCGCCGGCCCGCTCGGCCACCCCAGCGCTGCCCCGGGCCCCCGGTGCCCCCGCGGCCCTCCCGGCGCCCCGGGGCTCTCACCTGGTACTGAGCGGCGGCCGGGCCCATGGCGCGGTAGCCCGGGGCGGCGGCGGGCGCGGGGCTGGGGCCGCGCAGCAGGGCGGTGCCGGGCCCCGGGGCCGGCGGGGCGGCCGAGGGGGGCAGCGGGCTGAGCGGGAAGGCGCCGCGCCCGGCCATGGCGAGGCCGCAGCGGACGGGACGGGGCGGGGAGGCCCCGGCGGTGGCGGCGGCTCCGAGCGGCGGCGGCGCCGGAACGGGAACGGGAACAGCTCCGCGCCCGCCGCCTCAGGCCCCGCCCCCCGTCATAGCCCCGCCCCCGACAGCATCCCGCCCCGGCGTAGGCACGCCCACCGCCAGAGCCACGCCCACCTAGCGTCAGGCCCCGCCCCCTCAGTGCCACGCCCGCGGCGCCGCGCGCGTACGCGGGAGCTCCGCCCACCTCGGCAAAGGCTCCACCCCCAGCCCGCCTGTGTGACGTCAGCGCGTGTGGCGTGTCATGTACACGTGTGTGCACCTGTGTGCACGTGAGTGAGTGTGCAGGTGTGCGTGAACACCTGAGAGATTGTGTGTGTGTGTGTGAACACCTGTGAGAATGTGTGTGTGAACAAGTGTGTGTGTGCATGAACACGTGTGTGTGTGTATGTGTGTGTGAACACGTGTGTGTGTGTGTGTGTGTGTGTGAACAAGTGTGTGTGTGCATGAACACGTGTATGTGTGTGCATGTGTGTGTGTGAAAACCTCTGTGTGTGTGTGTGCATGAACACGTGTGTGTGTGTGTGTGTATGTGTGTGTGAAAACATCTGTGTGTGTGTGTGCAGATGTGCGTGAACACCTCTGTGTATGTGTGTGTGCAGCACAAGCCCAAGAGGGTGTGCAGGTGCAGACGTGTGGATGTGTATGTGTGCGAATTGGCACACATTTGTGTGTGACACAGTGTGTGTGACACAGATGTGTGTGTGACACAGAGGTGCAGGGGTGTTTGCATACCTATGGGGTGAGCACTCGTGCATTCTCACCTCGTGTTTGCACACGCGTGTGTGCAGGGGTGGCACACGGGGGATGCAGGGACACCGCGGGATGGGCAGAGCTCGGCTGTGGCTGTGAGGAGCCGGGGGGTCATACACACACCTGGGGGCGGCTGCGGGGCGTGGGGCACCTGCGGGAACCGCGGGGCTCCCGGGAATCTCGGTGATCGGGGGGGTCCCAGGGGTCCCGGGGGTCTCAGTGATCACGGGGGTCGCGGGCACACGCGGCTGCGGAGGTCGCGGGTGTCTCGGGGGTCGAGGTGGTCCCGGGAGTCAGGAGATCCCGGGGGTCTCGGTGTTCTCAGCGGTCCCGGTGGTCCCGGGGGTCTCAGTAGTCCCGGTGATCCCAGTGGTCCTGGGGGGTCTCGGTGTTCTCCGGGGTCCCGTTGTTCTCAGCGGTCCCGGTGGTCCCGGGTTTCTCGGTGTTCTCCGGGGTCCCGTTGTTCTCAGCGGTCCCGGGGGTCCCGGGTTTCTCGGTGTTCTCCGGGGTCCCGTTGTTCTCCGCGGTCCCGGTGGTCCCGGGTTTCTCGGTGTTCTCCGGGGTCCCGTTGTTCTCAGCGCTCCCGGGGGTCCCGAGTTTCTCGGTGTTCTCCGCGGTCCCGTTGTTCTCAGCGCTCCCGGGGGTCGCGGTTGTTCCACGACGCGGCCGCCAGGGGGCGCTGCAGGGCCGCGCTCCGCGGTGAGATCGGCGCAAAAGCCCCGAAATGCCCCAAATTCCCATTAAATGCCCCAAAATCCCGTTAAAATGCCCCAAAATCCAATTTAATGCCCCAAAATCCCGTTTAAATGCCCCAAATTCCCGTCAAATGCCCCAGTCCGGGCCGGGACCGCCCCGGGCCTGCATGGAACGGGGGTTCAGGGCTGTGTCTCCAAACCCTCCTGCTCTGCAGCCGCACCTGGACGCTCCCCCAGAGCGCTTGGACCATCACTGAAACCCTTCGGGAGGGCTGACACCTCAATAAACACAACCAAACCCTGTCCCGGGGCCATCTGAGCCGCTGGAAACTCACAGGGAAATCCCGGGAAAGGCTGGAATTTCTGGGTGCTGCCACAGGGACTCAGAGATGCTCAGAGCCCACTCCGTGCCCAGGAATTCCTCACTGCTGAGTCCATCCCAGGCTGGCATCACACCCTCACTGCAGGTGTAGTTGCTGTCTCTCATCCCAGCGAGTTTTCCCCTGGTTTTGGGGAGGTTTCCAGGATTTTGGGGCAGTCTGTGTCCTGCCTGTCCTGAAACCCTGTCTGTCCAAGGACAAGGATGGGCAGGAAAAGTGACAATGACAACCCCCAGCAGTGGCTTCAGCCCAACACCCCAGGAACAGGGCACAGGTGACAGCTGAGGCTCCTCACACCGTGGGTGTCACTGAAAACCCTTCCCTGAGCAGAACTCCTGTGCATTAAAGGTTGGAAAAGGCCCCTTTCCCCCTTACAGGGCTCAAGCCCTCAGTGGGATTTGTCCCAGTCTCGTTCCTGGTGGCTCTTGGGACAGCAGTGGGGACAAGGGTTCATTCCCAGGGCTCTGCTCTTCAGTCACTGAGATGATTTTCCTGCTTCTTTCAGAGAGGGCTCTCTTTCCCTTTCCCATAAAAAACAATTTTCCAGGATCCAGAGCTCCTTTTCCCACTCGTAGGTAAGAAAAAAAAATCTGAACTGGAGAAGCCTCTCCTTGTGGATTCTTTGCTTTTACTGAGATGGAAACAATGCTTCCAAAGCAAAATAAACTGGAAACCAGGTGGGCAAGGACAAGGCTTGAGCTGAGCCTGATTTCTCTCTCTGGGATGCAGAAGGGATGGGATTGCAGGGAAATCAGGCAGGGATTGTGAGGATTAGGCCTTTGTTGTTTTTCCAGCTCTGTTGTCATTCCTGTTGTCTTACCTGAGCCCATGGAGTGTCCCAGGGCTTGGGGACACCCCAGGACATCAGTTCCTCCTCCCACCCCTGCCTGGCTGAATGACCTTCAGGAACTTGCTTTTTTCCCCTCTCTCCTCAGTTTTCCCTGCCCCTGCTGGAGTGGCAACTGCTCCATCCCAAAGTGCTGCTCCCAGCAAGAGCTTCCTCTGCCCGGGGCAAAGGCTCTCAAAGAACCACAGCTCCGTTTTCCCAGCAGGAAAACACCTCTGGAGGTATTGCCAGTCCCCAGCAGGGTGTCTTTGCTGTGCTGCCTGCAGCACCTCCCTGCTCCTCCCCACTCCCAGGGCTCATCAGGCACTTTGGAAAAGCCTCATTCCTGTTTTCCCTCCCTGCAGCCCCTGGGGCTCCCAGGAACACCAGGCTCCATCTTCTCCCTCCCTCAGGTGCTGCTTTCAGTCTCCTCCTCCTGGAGGAGGAGGTTTTTGGAGGTTTTCCAAGATGTGGAGACCCCAGCAATGAATGGCTTTGCTGGAATTCCTCTGGAAATGAGGAACTTTCCCAGCCAGCTCAGGATAAACCCAGAGGATGCTGATTAAAGGATCATTTCTGTGGTGGTTAAAGGTGATTACTCTGCCTTCTTCTCTATCATTAGGCTGAAACCCAATTAACCAGACTCTGCTAATCAGTCTAGGTGAGGCTCAGTGCTTCCCTGGGAAGATGTTTGTTCCTGGAGGGAATCTTTTGTTGAGTTTGTGAGGTCCCAAGGACGAAGGAGGAATTGAGAATCTGACTCCATGTTCTCAGAAGGCTGATTTATTATTTTATGATACATTACAGTAAAGAATGCTATACTAAAACTATACTAAAGAATAGAGAAAGGATACAGACAGAAGGATACAAAGAATGATGATGAAAACTCGTTACTCTCTCTCCAGAGTCACAGCCTGACCATGATTGGTCATTAAGTAAAAACAATTCACATGAAACCAATCAAAGACTCACCTGTTGGATAAACAGTCTCCAAACCACATTCCAAGGCAGCAAACACAGGAGAAGCAAATGAGGTAATTATTGTTTTCATTTTTCTCTGAGGCCTCTCAGCTTCCCAGGAAAAGATTCAGGGGAAAAGAGGATTGGGAATCAGGGGCTGGAGCCAGTGGAAATCAGGGGCTGGAGCCATAGGAATCAAGGGCTGGAGCCATTGGGATCAGGGGCTGGAGCCATTGGGAATCAGGAGCTGGAGCCATGGGGAATCAGGGGCTGGAGCCAGTGGGAATCAGGAGCTGGAGCCGGTGGGAATCAGGGGCTGGAGCCATCGGGATCAGGGGCTGGAGCCAGTGGGAATCAGGAGCTGGAGCCATTGGGAATCAGGAACTGGAGCCATTGGGAATCAGGGGCCGGAGCCATTGGGAATCAGGAACTGGAGCCATTGGGAATCAGGAACTGGAGCCATTGGGAATCAGGGGTTGGAGCCATTGGGAATCAGGGGCTGGAGCCGGTGGGAATCAGGGGCTGGAGCCGGTGGGAATCAGGGGCTGGAGCCATTGGGAATCAGGGGCTGGAGCCATTGGAATCAGGGGCAGGAGCCATTGGGAATCAGGAACTGGAACCATTGGGAATCAGGGGCTGGAGCCATTGGGAATCAGGGGCCGGAGCCATTGGGAATCAGGAACTGGAGCCATTGGGAATCAGGGGCTGGAGCCGGTGGGAATCAGGGGCTGGAGCCATTGGGAATCAGGGGCTGGAGCCATTGGGAATCAGGGGCAGGAGCCATTGGGAATCAGGGGCTGGAGCCATTGGGAATCAGGGGCCGGAGCCGGTGGGAATCAGGGGCCGGAGCCGGTGGGAATCAGGGGCTGGAGCCGGTGGGAATCAGGGGCTGGAGCCATTGGGAATCAGGAACTGGAACCATTGGGAATCAGGGGTTGGAGCCGGTGGGAATCAGGAGCTGGAGCCATGGGGAATCAGGGGCCGGAGCCATTGGGAATCAGGGGCCGGAGCCATTGGGAATCAGGGGTTGGAGCCATTGGAATCAGGGGTTGGAGCCATTGGGAATCAGGGGTTGGAGCCATTGGAATCAGGGGTTGGAGCCATTGGGAATCAGGGGCTGGAGCCGGTGGGAATCAGGGGCTGGAGCCGGTGGGAATCAGGGGTTGGAGCCGGTGGGAATCAGGGGCCGGAGCCATTGGGAATCAGGGGCCGGAGCCATTGGGAATCAGGGGCTGGAGCCATTAGGATCAGGCCTCAGCTGCGCTCCACAAACCTGGCATCTGTTAATTGATATTAATCCCATCAATGCAAATCATATTAAGCTCCCTGGACCCTTCCCAGTGGCAGCACTGATAATTCCCTATAAATCAAATTTAGCGGCCCATAAACATTGGAACATCCCTC